TTTTCAAATGCAGTATATTTTTATGAATTTTTAACTAGTAAATCTGCCACTGGAGTTGATTCTGCAGTGTATTTGAGTATGTGCAAATCAAATACATTGTTTAATTTCCTATTTCCCTCGTGGAGAGATGGTGGTGAAACAGAAACATGAACAACAATCCATATATATCGCATACAAATTTGGGAATCCAGTATTGAATTCAAACGAAAGTGTCTACAAAATTTTACTCATTCATTCACAATGGCTGCCATTTTTGAGCATGATGCTGTGATTTCCCCCTACCTATTGTTTCCATGGAAACATGTCTGGCTCCTTTTTTATCCTAGAAATGACATAATTGTCAATATGGGTTGAGGTAAAATGAATACAAAATAGTACCTCACATATAGTTTTATTGAACGTTGTAATTCATCACTTGTTGGTTTCTGGTCCACATATTTTGTTTCATTTTAAGTCAGCAACTTACAAATGTTGTATATAGTGCTAAAGTCAATCAAATCAAGACACAAACTAGGATGAATAAAATGGTGGACTTGATGACATACAAGATCTCATGTAACACTGAAACTAGTGGACTATTCATTGTATTAGTAGTTATTAGTATAAACCCCTGCCCTTGCTTACGCATCTTCTATAAGCACCACTCCCATTTTAAAAAAATGGCTAAATCACAAATAATTTATTTGGTGATTCTAATACTGCATTTAACATTTTATTTTTATGAACCAGTCTCACCATGTATTTCAAACCTGTGTACTGTATTGTAGAGGGCGAATTAACTGAGCAGGATCACCTGAGAGGGCGCACTAATTGGGATGGGATTTCTGTATGGTGAGCATGTTCAAAACAATGCAAATATATAATATAAATTAGTGCATATAACATCTCTTAAATAATTACATTATGGTAATGTAAACTAAATAGTAATCTATTATTTATTAAGTTTTAATGAAAAGAATACTTTGTGTTTAATGACTATTTTCATCTTACTGGGTCAAACTACACTAGCTGTTCACTGTCACCCGTTCATGTTTACAATCCTATTTATTACTGGGCTTTTCTTTCTGTCAATTTAACTTTTTAACAAAATTGTTTTTTACTGATAGAGGGCTGTACTTATGAGTTGAATGTCTTGACTAAATTCATATATCCACAGTACAGAATATTTGCTTCTAACAGGAAAAAATAGAATCAATTTACTGGCATTTATGATTGTGTATTGAATTATATCCAAGATTGTGACTGTCTATTCATTACAGTTGTCTATTTTGCCAAACTTGGTTTAGATATTTCACATATCTTTTCCAAGAACGTACAATTCTACATGTGATCAAGCAGTGTTTATTTTCAATGAATGAACTAGTAGTCTTGTTACTTGCATTTGACAGTACGCATTCTAAATCTATTTGTTTAACAAGGTATTATCAATCACTGATAATTAAAAATTCATTTGATTTCTTGTTAATTAACAAGTAAGATAAAATTCAGTGAAGTGGGGTTTTAAATGCCAAATAGCATTTTTTTACACAATGTTATTTTTATTTTTTTTGTTACAGTCTATGCTATAGTAAAGTGTATTTTACCATATCAATTGTGTATTTTATTGATTTGATGCTATGCGTGATGTTTGATGGCTATATAATTGACTATCCTCAGGGACAGAGCTACGTCACAAGACGTTCCACGTTGCTAAGACAGGCACCACCATACCATGTATTTCTATGGGCTCTGCACGAGCTGCTGTAAAATGCTAATTATTTTGGTCCCTAAACAAGGTGAACACACTAACCACACATTGATGCAAGGGGAACACACTAACCACTGTACCACACATTGATGCAAGGGGAACACACTAACCACTGTACTACACATTGATGCAAGGGGAACACACTAACCACTGTACCACACATTGATGCAAGGTGAACACACTAACCACTGTACTACACATTGATG